ATTTAAGCTTTAAACGATGTCCCATGAGGTAGCAAGATCGCGACGTTTCCTGATCTCCACGAATGGTTCCGATTCCTGCAGGAGTTAGAAATTTCACACACTGGTGATAAGTTGAAGGTATAGCCCTCATTTGATAAATCCACGGAGTTCCGAGAATTATGTTGTAAGCGGCCGGACGGTCGAAAACAATAAATTCTACAATTTAGGAACCCCTGCGGCGAGCACTGGTAGTTTTATGTTCCCCAAGGACATAGATGTATCACTCGTGAAAGCTACTAATGGTGCCGGTGGACCGATAATGTCAGCCTTACTGATTCCCATTCTTTGCAAAGTGCTTAGAAATATGAGATCTACCGAGCTTCCAGTATCAATTAGACACCTAGTTACTTCGAAGTTCGCAACATCTAAAGTTATCACAAGAGCATCGTCATGAGGTCCTGTTAATCCTTGAGTGTCCGAATTGTCGAAAGAGATAGAAGGTGTTTGTTCATTTGACTGGAAAGCCACAGCGGTTTGAATTGCTGCTGATTTCTTGTGCCTTTTGATTGATCTGATCGAATCTTGGCACAATTTGGATCCTCCCATTATAACATTGATCCTTTTCTTAGGAGTGTTCGGAGTTCCGGGCCCATTGGGCTTGTGTTTCTTTTCAGGAGGATTGGACGCTTCAGAATCTTCTTTTTCTTTATGATAAGATTCCATAAACTCTTCGATATTGAAGTTAGCGAGCTCTCCAGCTGCCCACAGTTCGGTGAGGTGCTTTTTGAGTACGCTGCAATCTTTGGTGGAATACCCATTTACTCTATGAATATCGCAATAGGCACTCTCATCTCTAACCCAGGTATTAGAAGAATTGTATATTCCTTTGTTTGGGGAGGGTTTTCCTACGGCATTAGTAGCAGGATTAAATCCGAACCGTTTTTGATCTTTTGGTTCGAATTTTTTAGTCGGATTTCCAACAACCAATTTTGCTGGCCGATGCTTTTTAGCGAGGCTAAGCTTTTCTTCTTCCGCCTCCATCCAATTAGTAGCTCTGAATAAAGCATCTTGGATAGTGCTCGGACGATTGACGATGATCTCTTCCCGAAATCGGGATTCATGCCAAAGTCCGTTCCTTAAAGCAGAAAGGGGAGCAGCGTGTGATACCCCAGGAATGTTGGCTATCATTTCTTTGAATTTAGCGATATATTTGCGAAGTGGTTCGTTCTGACCTTGGGTTAAATTCCATAGATCTGCATCAGAGGTTGCCTTTTCCATAAACATGGAATACTGTTTTAGGAATGCAGAGGACAATTCCTTAAAACTATCAATAGATTCAGGCTCCAACTGAGTGAACCATAATAAAGCCGATCCGGATAGATTCTCAGAGAATAGTTTGCAATATCCGGCATCTTCCTCGTCTGGTTCTAGATCAATTCTGCCAGCAGCGATCTGAAAAGCAGCGAGGTGATTTTTAGGATCACCTTTACCATCGTAAGTTGGTAATTTGACCTTTCGAGAATCTTTGATCCGAAGGTTCGAGATTCACGAAGTGAAGGGTGTTCGTCGAGTTTCTTCGATTACTCGATCGATCTCAGGTGCCGAACTGGTCGCCTGATGAAACTTCGACTTTATCTCATCAAGCTCTTGACGAACTTTGACGAAATCATCGGAAAGGATGACATCAGGTTCTTCCTTCGTCAATAGCAGGATTGCCCTGATTTTGGGGATTTCCATCCCCAGTTGGATTGGACCCATCTCCTACGATTGTCTGATTGCTAGTACTAGCAGGACGGCCCGTAGGAGGAGTTTGAGTGCTCTCGGATCTGTTTAGTGTGGGAGTTTGGAATAGCCTGCGCTGATACGCTGTCGTTTGTGCTGAGGACAAATTATCTAAACAGCTTGAAACAACGTTCTGCGCGTTTGACAAATTTGTTTGAGTATTTTGAACACTCGTTAAAGTTTGCTCGATTAAGTTTAACCTTTCACCAAAAGTGGCGTTGGCACTAGCGAGTGTACTCATCTGATTGGTCAGATCGGTGGTTGACTGAGTAAGCGAGGCAATTGCATTGCTCAAAGCTTGCTGATCAGCCATAGTTTCTTGGTTTGAAAAAGAGAGATTTTGAGATCAAAGAGTTTTGCGGTAAATCCCCACAGACGGCGCCAAAATGTGGATGTAGGATTCACACTCGATTGTCTTTAAGTATTTTTGTGGAGAAAAACTCTAAAATCAACAAATGAAAATATGGAATTGAAAAGGGAAGTAACCAAGAAACTAAATAAAGCGAAAGAACTTGGAAAAAAAAAATCGTAAAAAGCTATGCAAAATTGTAAAAGAAAAAGTATGTTGTATTGCTTGATCGTAAGAGGAAAAAGTTTTTCTCCCCCCAAACACACGCGTTTGAGGTTGTTTTTATAGAGAAAACATGATCAATACGGTCATTTACTGCTCATAATTGCATTGATCCGCATTAATCATGTAGATTACAATTTAACCGAAACGGCTTGAATTTGAACTATCTTGGGCTTCGCGTGGATCTTCCGAACCCTTTCTTGTTGACTCCGAACTCCTGCGTCTTGACGCTACCGCGAACCTAGAGCAATATTCTCCTCGCTTCGGCCTTCTTTTATGCGAACTATATGTTGAATAAGAGCAAACTCCGTACTGGTAAAGATCGAGCTCTTTAATAAACTGAATCGAACTTCCGACAGGTCGAGCTCGATTCTCGCAATGAAACATCTAGAAATCCAAGAGGATTATTATGTAATAATGACGTGGATAGATCCAAGTGGATCCTACCGAAGATGTGTGGGATCCGACCCCAACAGAAGACATCTAGACGAACTAAGACCTACCAAAGCAGCCAAACTCTGAAACCTATGCGAAGGAGAAATAGAAAAGAGAGGCTGGGGCATCAGAAGCTACCGGGTCGATGGCAAACACCAACCAAAGCTGGAAAACTAGCCACAAAGCTAAAGAAATCCTCTCAATTCAAACTTCGACACACGAAAACGACACGCACAGAGAGGACAGAGGCTTCAGGCGTGTGGGAGTAAGTTGTCCTCAAGGCGAACAACCCGACACAAAGAAACCCGGAACTCTGGCAGACACGAGCCGAAACGTGGTGGTTAGACTAAGAAATCTTAGAAAAAATGAATCCACGCAAGGAAGAGAGACGACACCATGGCACAGCCAAGGGAAGTACGCTCGACCACCAGAAAACACCAGGATGAAGGAGATCCAGAACAGATCTACAAACAAAATTTTGCTTCGCCGCCAAAGATGCGAAACGCTTGGACCGGAAAAAGAGAGCCTCCACCTTGGTCCATCACCGTCTACATGCAGTAGAGGGAGAGAGCAGGAGATTCCAGCCACCAGAAACCGGCCGTTGCGCACGGTGGACCTTCGACACTAACCACGAGAAAACAAAGTTGATTCAACCCTTCAGAATCTTCAAGTACAGAGGAGAAACCAGACCAAAGTAACCTAGAGCCCTCTCACGGCAGCGGTCGCAACCAGACACCAGAGAGGCAAGACGCGGCGGAGCTAGGTTTGTCGCAGAAAATCGTTTCGGGGGAGAAAATTTGGGGGCGTGCCCTAAAAAAAAACATTTATTGTGGTTCAAATTTATCTTAATAATTTTAAATTTTTATTGTGAAATATTAAAATAAAATATACTATTCAAATATAGACAATATTATTAGTTTGTGAAAAACAAATAATTGAATAGAGTATTTTTCAACTAGATTTTGTTGGGATTAAAATTTAAAATTATCAAATTTTATCTTAATAATATAATCGCTAACGCTCGTATAGCCTTGGAAAAATCACGTGTGTTTGTGTGGCTTGGAGAAAAGTAGAAGAAAAGAGAGTTAGAGAAAATTGAGGGACTGTTAAAACTATTGAAATAAAAAGTTAAGTAAAAGTGTGATTGGACAAAACTTGGTTGTTGGCCAATCCCAGCAGACAGACCGTTGCCATATTGATGGGTCCTGGCATAAGACAGAGGCTAGAAATGGACACGGATGGATTGTTTACTATGGAGGAAGATTGTTGCATTTAGGACTAAAAGGCTTGCGTAGAAGTCTTTCCCCCCTTCATGCGAAACTAGAGACTCTTTGTGGACGATGAAGTGCTTATTAGCACTCCCTACGAGCATCCTCATTTTGACGGATTGTTTGGATCTTTAGAGATGACTTCTAAGCCAGAGGAGTGGCCTACTTTTTCTACAGAATTGAAGGATTTTGACTATTACAGGGTTTCGTTTTCTACTTTTAGTGTTAGACATATCCCTCGTAGTGGTAATACTTCCAATGATCATTTTGCGAAATGTGCAAGAAGTTGCGGCATCTGTTTTTTTCATGTAAGTTCGACGGTATCCGATTGACTCTCTCTAGAAGAGAGTTATTTTCCGTAAATTAATATATGGTGTTTGATTGGCAAAAAAAAATGTAGTGAAAGTCTTTACAGCATATCGCCAATCTCCCATCTTGATTTTGGTTTTCATCCTAGAGTTTACAAGTTTTTCATTAGTGATTATGGTGATAAAATGTAAAATTCGATTATAGTTTTACAAGTTATCAGATACTTTAGTCACTTGATTATTCATCGATCTGATTAGCCTAATTCTCTACCAAACGTCTCTCATATCACTTAATTCGATTATTATCTCAACACTCTGCTAAATCCTCAATCATCCTTCTTTCTAGTCATGTACTAAACTAAAAAGTTAATTTCAAAGCATAATAAAGTACAAGAAAAGTTGGATCCCTAGTAGTAAACAAGCATACATTTTGAGAAAAAGTGAGTCAATGAGGATACACGTCTGATTTAGCTGTAATGTTGGTACGGCCAAAGAAAACTCACCGTCCTACCACATCACTAAACAACTACGAAATTTCCATCTTATTGTCTTTATCAATTATTATTATATTCACTTTAATTTCTTATTTTAATAACAAAAAAAAAAGTTCAACAAAGAATAAAGAAAAAGTAAATTGCAACTTATTCATATATTCGACAGTAACGAAAAAGAAACCCAGAAGAAAAAAAAAAATATCTCTCTTGAAAATTCTCCTTTTGCAAAAATCATTCAGTGAAGCAGAATCATCTTCTTCTCCAGCTTCATCAATCTCTTTGTTACTGAAAAAATTGTTTTGATCGGAAGGATCTGATTTAGTTTCTATGTCTTCGATGTCGCTGTCGAATCAGATTCCCGTTTACTCTCGGTGACCTCTGCATCTTCTTCCACTTTTTTTCCAGTTTTCTGATAACTTTTCTCAGATGAGAAGTTCCAAGTTACTTCTTCTCAAGTTCTTCTTCGTCTTCTTCATTTTGACTTCGATTGGTACAGTATCTTTCTATTGTTAAAAAAAAAATTCTAGGTTAACTCCTATTTGAATTCTACTCAACTCTAGGATGTTTGGTTTTGCTAATTTCGTCGATTGATCAAACATGGTTAGATATTCGATGTTATGATTTGAATTTCTTGGTTTTTCTGATGAAATTGTTACTATTAGTGGTAGTCTCATGGATTCTTATTTGTTTTTTGTTTTTTTTCTGTGTAGAGTTTCAAGTGGATGGAGCATTTGTTGGAACTTATGGGATAAATTATGGAAGGATTGCGGATAACATACCATCTCCGGATAAAGTAGTTTTACTTCTAAAGCAAGCTAAAATTCGAAATGTGCGTATATACGATGCGGATCACACTGTTCTTGAAGCTTTTAGTGGAACTGGTTTAGACCTTGTGGTTGGACTTCCAAATGGGTTTTTAAAAGAGATGAGTTCGAATGCTGATCATGCTTTCTCTTGGGTTAAAGAAAATGTTCAGTCTTTCTTACCCAAGACTCGGATTCGTGGTATCGCGATTGGGAATGAAGTTCTTGGAGGCGGTGATTCTGAGCTCGCGGGAGCTTTACTTGGTGCAGCTAAAAATGTGTACAATGCGTTGAAGAAAATGAATCTGGAGGACACGGTGCAGATCACCACGGCTCATTCGCAGGCTGTGTTTTCTGATTCCTACCCGCCATCGTCTTGTGTTTTTAAGGAGAATGTTGTTCAGTTCATGAAGCCACTGTTGGAGTTTTTTCAGCAGATTGGCTCTCCTTTCTGTTTGAATGCGTACCCTTTTTTGGCGTATACTTATAATCCGAAGGAGATTGATATCAACTATGCTCTTTTCAAGCCAACGGAAGGCATATATGACCCGAAAACTGATCTACATTATGATAACATGCTTGATGCTCAGATCGATGCTGCCTACATGGCGCTGCAAGATGCTGGGTTCAAGACGATGGAGGTTATGATCACTGAAACTGGGTGGGCTTCTAAAGGGGATTCAGATGAACCTGCAGCAACACCGGAGAATGCAAGAACCTATAACTATAACCTCAGGAAGAGGCTTGCAAAGAAGAAAGGGACACCTCTTAGACCAAAAACGGTGCTCAAAGCCTATATCTTTGCATTGTTCAATGAAAACTCAAAACCGGGCAAGAGTTCTGAGACACACTTTGGACTTTTTAAACCTGATGGAACCATATCATATGACATTGGATTCAATAGTCTGAAGTCTGATGCTCCCAAGTCACTCATTTCATCATCAAAGGTATGAAATTCTGTAATTAAGGAGGTCGTAGTATACTTGTAATGACCATATCCATTATGTATGATATTTTGCTCTTTCAATCTCATTTCCGACTTTGTTCATATTCAGGGTAATGCATAGTGACCATCGTATGTATAAATATCTTCTGCGTTTTGTTGCAGGCAGCTTGTTACTATGTGATCATCTCTGTCTCAGTTTTCCTCTTGATGATATAAATGCGGAAATGGTGTGAGCTTTGACGATAGGATCCTCGGATTTGGTCATACATTCGTAGCAATATAATATATTAATATTAGGGTTGAGAGGCTAACGAAATGGTAGGGGCACAAATTTACTGCAATTCTCATACATGTAGCCAAGAGATATCCACTAAAGATATCACCAGACATTCTCATATATACACATCTTATGTAAAACAAATCTAATACATAAATTTGGGTCTCTGCTTAGATTTTTTTGAATTGGATACTTGGGAAATTAATGGATATCGAGGGATTATGGATATTGTGTTTCTGATTAGTCTACGCGATTTACATCGGTTTCAGATTATGAGATCATATTCAAATCTTTCACAATCTTACAAGCCTCTGGGTTCGGCGTCACGTGTAATACAAGACTGGTTGTGTGGAGCTACTGTAGAGGATAAAAATAGGTGTCAGTGAGAGTGTCGTAAATAGTGTTGGGGGTAAAAAGATCCTAATGGTTTGGGTTTTCAGTTATGGAGAGTCTTCAGCCTAAAGAGAAGCGCACCCTCATTAGTCTATTATTCTCTCTCCCTCCAAACACAAACATACAAATTCCGCAATGCTCATAACGACAAAATTCAAAAAATGTGGTCCTCCTCTGACTGTGTTCTTCCCGGACCACCGAGCCGAAGCAACCTATCGGCAGCTGACGTGAGCCCTTCCGGCCTATTGGCATTTGCCTCTGGTTCTTCTGTCTCTCTTGTCGACTCGCGCTCTCTCCAGCTCATTTCCTCCGTCTCTCTCCCGTCTCCCATCTCTTGTGCATTTTCTACGGTCACCTCTGTTCGTTGGGCTCCTGTTCCTGTCCAGCGTGATCTCTTCTCCTCTGATCTCCTTATCGCTGTGGGTGATCACCTCGGCCGCATTGCTCTCATTGACTTCCGCCTGCGTTCTGTTCGTCTATGGCTTGAACAAAGTTGTGACAGTGCTAGTGCTAGAGGAAAGATCCTTGGTTGTGGTGGCATACAGGACCTCTGTTGGGTATTGGCTCGGCCAGAATCCTACGTCCTCGCTGCCATTTCCGGTCCGTCTTCTCTCTCGCTCTACACGGATTCAGGACAATTATTCTGGAAGTACGACGCATCGCCTGAGTTATTATCATGCATTCGTTGTGACCCCTTTGATTCCCGCCATTTTTGTGTCCTTGGCCTCAAAGGGTTTTTACTCTCTTTGAAACTTCTTGGGATAACAGAGAATGACGTCCCTACGAAGGAGTTTCAAATCCAAACAGATTGCAGCGATCTACAGAAGCTAGAAGGGGAAGGTGTTGCTACCAGTAGCCACTCAACGTCTCCTGCATCAACCGTTTTTCCTCTCTATTCCGCAAAACTCTCTTTCTCACCGCATTGGAAACACATCCTCTTCGCCACCTTTCCCAGAGAGCTTGTCGTGTTTGATTTAAAGTATGAAACAGCCCTCTACGTAGTAGCATTACCTCGTGGCTACGCCAAGTTTGTAGATGTTTTGCCTGACCCAAGACAGGAGTTTCTATACTGCCTTCACCTTGATGGCAGGCTCAGCATTTGGCGACGAAAAGAGTGCGCCAGGAAGTTCTCTTCTCATCTTTGTTCCTCTCTGTTGTCTTTTCTTAAGGCATTCTGTTTTTTTTTTTTTCTTGCTTTTGCAGAGGGGAACAGGTCCATGTCTTATGTGGACTCGAAGAGTTGATGCCGACGATTGGTAATTCTGTACCATCACCATCTCTTCTGACTCTTCTAATCTCCCAATTGGACTCAACCCTCCAGAACATGAGGACTACTCATTCAGATGCTGTTTTGGATAGTTCAGAGCTCGAGATTTCGTTTGATTTCAACAACGATGCTTTTCTTCGTTTCAAAACACATTTCATATCTATATCCGATGATGGTAAAATATGGAGCTGGATCTTGACTTTCAGTGGAGATGAGGATTCTAATCCTCAAACTAATGATAATCTGCTAGAGAGCCCAACTAATGGCAATCAAGATCTCCCTCGTAATATATCTTTCGAGGTCTATGATGGAATTGGAACCTTCTTTGCTTATCTTTCCCCTTCCTTATTTCTGTGTTTACATAAAACTCATTGATACAGATCACATTAGTTGGACAACTTCAGCTTCTATCGTCCACAGTGACTGTGCTTGCAGTACCAACCCCTTCCATGACCGCAACATTGGCTCGTGAGTTGCATCGACAACTTGTGAATTTTAATATAAAATAAAAAATGAGAGACTCAAGCTCATGGATATGAATATATTGTATGAAGGTGGAGGGAATTTTCCTGCTGTAGTAGTTCCTCTTGTAGCTTTGGGAACAGAAGCTGGCACAATTGATGTTGTTGATGTGTCTGCAAACGCAGTGGCAGCAAGTATCTCTGCACACACCAGTACTATAAGGGGTTTAAATTGGCTAGGAAATTCGAGAATCGTTTCATTCTCTTGTAGTCGGGTAAATAAAAATTCATTCCATAAGATCCTTAATAATCTTTGTTCGATTTTCCACTACATGAACACTGTAATGTTGCTTTGGTGGTATCAGGTGAGTAAACGAACAGGTGGGTATATTAATAAGCTCGTTGTCACATGTCTTAGGAGTGGCGTCAGTAGAGGCTTTCGAGTTTTGCAAAAGCCAGAGCGAGCTCCTATAAGAGCTCTGAGAGCTTCATCTTCTGGGAGGTTGGTCTCTTTATTTTTTCTAAGGCTTCACCAAGAGATAAAAAGAGTCTTTGACATCTTGTTTTCAGGTATCTTCTTATTTTGTTCCGTGATGCTCCAGTAGAAGTATGGGCAATGACTAAAAGCCCTGTGATGGTAAGTTAGGTTATTACAAGTGATGGAAATACTCATCTTAATTATGATGAAATGCCATGGGTTTGTAATTATTACTATGACTTGTACTTTGATGTAGCTTAGATCACTAGCTCTCCCTTTCACAGTTCTGGAATGGACTCTCCCAACTATTCCAAGCTTAGCTCAAAAGAGTCTTTCAAAGCAGCCTTCGATGTCTTCTAACCAGGAAACAAATGCCACACCAGATGACATTGGAACTCCAAAAGCATCAGATTCTAGTAAGCGATTTTCTTTAACAATGTACTCATCTTACTTTGAAACTTATGACAAAAGAATTGCTTTCTAACAGAAGATGTAGCTGCTGATGCACTCCAAGATGATGCTTCTGAAAGTTTTGCATTTGCACTGGTAAATGGTGCACTTGGCGTATTTGAGGTGTACGGACGAAGAATTCGAGATTTCAGGTTGCTTTTCAGGGAAACATCCTCATAGTTTTTTATTTTATTTTTTCATACTCTAACATGTTAATTCCAATTATTTTGTTAGACCGACATGGCCGGCATCTTCTTTCATCTCTTCTGATGGGTTAATAACTGCTATGGCCTATCGCTTACCTCATGTTGTATGTACTATGCCTCTTGATGTTATCTCTGGATGTTTTTGAGAAATATCTTAGAAAAATCACTTAACAGGTTACCGGTGACAAGTTAGGGAACATACGATGGTGGGATGTAGCATCCGGTAACTCCTCTTCATTTAACACCTGCAAAGAAGGAATAAAGAAGATCAAATTTTCACCTGTCTTTGCTGGTGATATTAGCAGAGGACGAATTACAGTGCTATTTTATGACAACACATTCTCCATCTACGATCTCGTAAGATTTCTTGTAACTTCTAGACGTTGGTATAAGAGGTCTCATATTCATAAGTCATACCAATGGTCTAGTTAGGCCTTTTTCACATAGCTTTACTGGTGTTGTTTATAAACAAGTTTGTCATTCCATAGTTAAGCCATGGACTTTGTATCTTTATTCCAGGATTCACCAGATCCTTTGGCCATTTCTCTCATGCGGCCTCAAATTCCTGGCACACTTATTCTTGAACTTGATTGGCTGCCTCTGCGAACTAGTAAATTTGACTCGCTTGTTTTATGCGTTGCTGGAACTGATGGTAGTTTTCGCCTGGTGGAGGTTCATGTGTAAGTGATGTATATGTTTTCCATTGTATAACCTTTACAATAGATTGTGAAGTTAAGAGGAGAACCCTCTTGATGCTCCTTCATCTAATCCATACAGAGATGAAAAAATGACAGCCCAAATATCCTACACAAAACCTCCCAAGGAAAGATTTCGTCCTGTTCCTTTATGCACTCCTACGCTACTCCCTACACCACATGCCCTGGTAAGGTTAACAACTTATGTTTGATTTTGAGCTGATCGGAAAGTACTTTAGCTTACAGTCAATTTGTAGGCGCTGCGGATGATCTTGCAGCTTGGCGTAAAGCCATCTTGGTTCAACACTTCTAGTACATGTATTGACAAACGACCACATTCTATTCCGGCAAGAACTTCATCTTCTAAGGATCTTCGCAGTTTCATGATAGATTTCCCACCAATCGGTGACCCTGCAGTGCTGGAAATGTTTCTTAAAGTATTAGAACCATACCGCTCAGAAGGTTGCGTTTCATTGTTATTTCTTCTCCATAAAACATTTTGTATGCCTTTTCATGTGAATGATGTTTTCTCTCTTTTTTTTTTCTGGTAAAAACGTTCGAAATGATGATGGATAAAGGCTGTCTTCTCGATGATGAGAAAGCAAAACTATATTCCAGTCTAGTTAATAAGGGTTGTGCTGCAAGATTTGCTTTCGCGGCTGCAATTTTTGGAGAAACTTCTGAGGCACTTTTCTGGCTACAACTGCCCTATGCCATGAAACATGTAGTCAACAAAACAGCAACTAAGTCTTCGAAGAAGCATTTTGAGGAAACAGCTACGCTGAGTAAAACTTCATCAAAGGGGCCATCATCTACAGGATTTGAGAAGAATGGTTCTCTGGTAAGTTGTACTGTGGAATAAACTAGAAATTTGAATACCTTTTATACTGAACCCTTATGAATATTACAGAGTGAAGGTCAACTGAGACTAATGGCTTTTGAACAAAACGATTTATGGGTATGCGCTAATGAGCGAATCCCGTGGCACGAGAAACTGGAAGGGGAAGAGGCCATTCAAAACCGAGTACACGAGTTAGTCCTCAACCCATTCCAGACTGACATTTTATATTTGAAGATTTGAGGCTAACATACTTTGTGCTTTTGATGAGCAGACTTGTATCAGTTGGAAACTTGGAAGGTGCGGTGAGTCTGTTACTCTCAACTTCTCCAGATAGCACCTATTTCTATCCAAATGCCCTACGTGCTGTTGCTTTATCTTCCACCGTGTCAAAATCCCTCGTTGAGCTAGCGGTGAAGGTAGTAAGATGCCATATTTCATCTCTACATGGTGAATCACAGAACCTGACTTTTTTCCGTGACATGATTTCCATATGAAGGTAGTTGCAGCGAACATGGTAAGGTCAGACAGATCACTTTCTGGAACTCATCTTCTATGTTCAGTAGGAAGATACCAAGAAGCTTGCTCACAGGTTAGGTTTTGTTTAAAACTTTTTAGAGAAAATCTTAACGAGGCTTCAGATCCCAAGATTTGCTTAATGTGTGAGTCTCTACAGTTACAAGATGCTGGTTGCTGGACGGATTCTGCAACATTGGCAGCAACACATTTAAATGGATCTGACTATGCGAGGTGTGTCGTGTAATCTTTACCTATATCAATGGTGAAGTTGGTAATCAAATCAAATAACTCTTGACTTGAAACTCAGGGTGTTGCAAAGGTGGGCAGGGCACGTCGTGAACATTGAACACAACCTATGGAGGTATATATATATATATACACACATCCCAACTAATCCTTCCTTTTGATATAATGTATTCCATAGAAATGAGGATACAAGTATCTTAATATGAATTTTGGAATTTCAGGGGTGTGATACTATATGTAGCGGTAGGAGCGTTTGAGGAAGCTTTAGCAGTATTTCGCAAAGCTGAGCGGCCAGAGACTGCAGCTATTTTCGTTATGGCTTGCCGAGAAACTCTAGCAGAGAGTTGGAGCATTGATTCAGAGAATGAAGATGTGATGGCAGTTACTGAAAGCTATGCGTTGTATCAGAGGAAGCTGGTGCATCTATGCATGGATTCACCTTCATCTTTTCACTGATGTCTTGTGCAATTGACTACATGTGTATACTATATTATACAAGGTCAGTCCTTAACTAGTTATCTTATTTAGCAATCGTTCTGTTGAAAGAAAATGAGATAAAGCTTACTTCTTGTTAGACCTATGACTTCGAATGTTTGCATTTTTATTATCCCTGCAGGATACATGAAAAATAGTAGTGGATGTAAGTACAACCTTCTGAATCCAGCGGAGGTGCTTTCATGCGCTCTCACGCTTTTCTGAAGAGATCTTGAGATGAAAAAGACAATGTTTAAGATGAGGATATTTTCAAGTTTTTGAGTTTTAATAAACTTGTTTCTGACTTCTTGAATCAGGATGAAAATTGAGCGTTTGTGCTCTGCTCACTCCAGCTTAAAATCACACCACCCGGGATGATTGTCTGAATCCGTTAGTCTGGAGCTTTGATCATTGTGAATTGATGAAAAAAAAAACTATTATACTATGTTCTCTTCTCTTAACGATCACTACAATCTTTTAGTTGGTTATTAGTATGCTGAAGAAAGAAATTGATGAAATAGAACTAAAGACTCACACTTCACTCAACTTCAGGTCGAACTTACATGCATCAAACTGTGTGCTTTCTGGTGCAGATCCTGCTATGACTGCATACACAACATCAACAATTGGCGATAATAGAACCCAATTAACAAAAGAAGAGAGACAACAATTGATTTCATGGGAAGATAATTGCAAAGGACAAACTACACAAAATTGAAACCATAAACACATAAATCTAATGCTTTAGCAAAAAAAAACAGTAACTTGCAAGGGTTTCCAAACTTAAGCCAAAATTTTGGAGATAGAAATTTTACAGAAAATCAGTAGAAAAGGAGCTTCAAGTCCTCAAGGCTGAGACTAACAAAGTATATATCAAAATCAAGAGCCAAACTTCATTTCTGTTGCAAAAACAAACCTATTCAATTGCTACGATATACTCCAATGAATCTCTCCAAGAATGTACTACTTAAGATAATACTAGTAGTAACCTGAATTTCTTTCTAAAGAAGATTGTCTAAACGACGCGAGATTTAGAAAAACAGAGGTAGATTGAGACTGAAGCACCAACAGAGACTACCATCAGTCACTGCAAGGATCATTAGAATATAATTACTTACCACAACTTGTAGGGTTTGGAAAATTACATCGAACTCTAATAGGAATAAGATGGTCATGGACCATTGAGTATTGTACATGGGCTTGATTAGGTTTAGCTCAGAGATTAGAGAATAATCTCGTCGGCCCCCTCTGCTCTAAACAATTTCTACTTAGCCTCCGTTATAAGAAACAAAAGTTTATTTGTTTAATTTAAATCAGAAAAATAGTAAATGGCCAAAAAAATATTGGCTTCTCGACATAATTACGGACTCAACCTAACTTTGGATCTATATCCATATTTGTTGGATCGAGTTTTGGATCTTTTAATTCCCAATTATAAAATTCAAGCCCTAACCCTAATTGTCTTTTTTTTTTTTTTTAATCTTTTTCTCCTTTTCTCTCTCGAAAACAAACTGACGAGCCTCCATCGTTCTTCTCTGGGAGACATCTTCTCTCACCGCCGATAAAACTCCTCTTCTTCCCTCTTCTCTCATTTGCCGACAAAGGATCCGCCGACAGACCTACTCTTCTTTTCTCGCCGATCCCAAACCAAATCCACGTTCATCCGTCCTTTTCTTTGTAAGATTTATTTTTGGAAATCAAGGTTTCTTTTGTTTGAGTGTGTTTAGTTTTGATATATGGATGGATTTTGTTGGGTTTTGAGGATCTTGATTTGTGGATGGATTTTCGGATTTCAATTTGTCTTGTTTTCGGATTTGAATTTTTGGTAATCTTCCTTTGAATTTGTCCAAATTTTCGATCTTCAATTTCTCTATTTCTCGGATTTGAATTTTTCCCTTAGATAGATTCAAATAGTGTTTATCGGATAAGTTTTTTGAAATTTGTTGAAAACAAACTTTATCCCTTAGACTATCTACATTGCTTTTGATTTTACAACACCCACTTTTTTCTTTTTAACATTCCACATCATCTTCTCTCTCTTCCACATCATAATTCAACACCTATATAATTTTTACTCTCTACAATAGTTTTATTTAATAAAATTACAACACCTTACCCCACAATTTTTCTTTTCATATTTTTCATTTTATTTATGTTTAAGTTTTTTGTGATTACATATTATTAATCACAGTTAATATCAAATGAATCTAAAATAAGTAAAAAAAAATTATAAGATAATTTTTGTTTTTATTTTATATATCATTTTGTTTTATTTTGTAAATAATAAAAACGAGAAATACAAATAGTCGTTAATAAAACACATACATTGACGAGAAACTTAAAATGCAATACAATCAGCACACAACACAAGTAAGGAAATACTCATAACTTAATTGATACAATAATCTCAACTCACAAACTTATAAATCTCATTCTCCACCGAACATTTTCCTTTGTGCCCATATGTGTTTGACTAGATCTGCTTGAAGTTCGTGATGTACATTTGAATCACGCAAATCGGATCTAGCACGCACATGTTTGCAAATACAGGTTGCACTTCGGTCGAGAATGGTTGTTGTGTACTAGACCCAGGTGCCTCAGATTGATCATAATCTTTCCAATGTTGAGCATATGTCTCTCGTTCATCTTCAACAATCATATTATGCAATATGATACATGACCTCATGATGATAGCCAAATCGGTTATGTCCCACATGCGAGCTGGTTCACGAATGATTTTAAATCGAGCTTGCAACACTCCAAATGCACGTTCAATGTCCTTGCGACATCCCTCCTGACGTTGTGCAAATAACTTGTCTTGTTCACTTTGAGGCAGCCTAATCGATTTAACGAAAGTGGGATAAGAAGGATAAATACTGTCAGCTAGATAGTATGCCATATCATATGGACGTTGGTTCACGAAGAATTTGACTCTTGGAGTATTTCCCTCTTCAAAATCATCGAAAACCGGTGAACGGTCTAGAACGTTTATATCGTTCAAGGTGCCGGGACATCCAAAAAAAGCATGCCAGATCCATAGATCATGAGATGCCACTACTTCAAGAATAACAGTGGTGGTTCCCTTATCGCCTCGAGTAAATTGACATTCCCACGCCTTAGGACAATTTTTCCATTCCCAGTGCATGCAATCAATACTCCCAATCATCCCCGGAAACCCTCGCATCTCACTAACACGCATAATTCTCTATAGGTCATCTTGAGTTGGGACTCTGAGATACTCTTGCTCATACACTCGTATGATTCCTTTGGAGAATCTTCGCAGGCACTCCAAAGCAGTAGTACCTCCAATTTTGATGTATTTATCCACTACGTCGGCTGCCACACCATATGCTAACATTCGCATGGTCGTAGTACATTTTGCTAATGGAGATATACCTTCTTTCTTAGCTGCGTCAAATCGTTGGGTGAAGTAGTTGTCGATGCTTGATAGGTCTCCAACGATCCGAAGAAAAACATGTTTTCGCATCCGGAATCGCCGACGAAATATTGCATCGTCATATGTAGGTTGATTGGCAAAGTAGTCGTCAATTAGTCTTTGATTTGCTGCTGCATGATCTCTCTTGAAGTATTTTCTCTTGCTACGAGGTGGATAGCATTCTTCTATTTTGTTTCGGCGCTCTCTAAACCGGTTGATGATATACCTCTCCTCAATTTCAGACTGCTTTTTGTAAGCTTCGATATCAAAAGGATATTCTGATGGATCCATTGAGATTTTTTTTAGTAAGATGAGATTTGTGGTATTTGTACATCAATGGAAGAAAGAATCCCTATTTATAAAAAATGGTTAGAAGATTGGATGCGAATTGAGTGATTGAAACCGAAAAGACACGGATAAGGATAAGATTCTCTTATTAAAAATCAAAATTTACGGATTACATTATTAAAGCATAACATGACAATACAAATTATTAAAGGAAGAAAGTGACAAACACACATTATTAAAGCACGACGAAACAATACAAATTATTAAAGGAGACAATGACAAACAAACATTACTAAAGGAGAAAAGGCCAAACACACATTATTAAAGCATGAAGTGACAAAATACAAATAGCCACTTGACAACAATTAATTTCCAAATAAATCGTTGCTCAACTTCTGCAATAGCTCTTTGTCCTTGTCGTCGAGATGTTCCTTTTCAGTTAGCTTGAGATACATCTTCATCTTTTTAGCATGGGTCTTTTCTTTAATCAATTCGTTTGTCTCCCTTTGCAACATGGCTATGTTGTTCAATCGATCCAACTCTTGCGTCTTTAATTGTTTGAATTCATTCCATTCTTCGTTGACCACTTCCAAGGCTGCACCCTTACCTTTCTTTTTAGCCTTTTTCTTAGCAGCATCCCTCCCCATTGGACGAGTACTAGATCCTACAGAGTTGGCGTCACTAGCATCACTCTCGTGGGCTCTCTTAGATCCACTGCTTCCAGAGCCAGTATTTCCTCCTACTTGACTACCATAACGTGGCTGATCACGGATTGCGAGCCACTCTTTTATATATTAGAAATTTCCATTACCAGCACTTGAATATAGTTCATGCACTTTCGCCAAAACATCATCCTCCGACCACCCGCTTCGTTGCATGCGTTTAGCGTTATCGTTAGCGCCAACCCATTTGCCCAAGCTTTTGTTCACGTAGTTGTAGTGATTTCTACACGAAACTCCATCGCGCGGAGTATCAAATGAGCCATGCTCATTACAGTACTCAGCAATTTTACCCCAATATGAATCCCCTTTTTGGTTTCTACCAACGACGCTATCGGTTCCATATTTTATCCACCCACTCAGTAGCACCAAATTTTGTTCAGTGGTCCATTTGGAGCTTCTCGGACGAGCAGGAGTTGAATCTTCTTCATTTGGAATGGCTTCATGAACATTGCTCATACCACCAAGAGCCATTTGTGTAGAAAATTCGGGAAATTCAGTTGCTCCAACACTTGTATTAGTTTCATTACCCAATGGAGCAGAAGAATAAGAGGGTGCTTGAGATGAATACGACATCATCGATCCATGATATGGACGATAGTTTGGAACAGCTGACGACATGAAGAAATTTAGTGGATATCCATAATTTAATTCGTATATGTTGGGGATGGTTGGGAGATTGATTTTGAAACTGATAATTGTTTGGATTTGGATAATTAAAAGGGTAATTAGAAGAATTTTGGGAGCTAAAGGGATTATTATTAGGATCCATTTCACTAAAAGATGGGTAAAACAATAAAAAAAGAGTTTATGAAGGCTGACAAAAATATAGTAAAAAAGATGGATTTTTTTTTTGTGTGTTCAAATTAAGTGAAACAAGTCTCTATTTATAGAGTATGAAAAATGATAAATTTTGGTATAAAGATATTAAAATAAAATTTAATATTTTGTGACATATTGATCTTAAATAATTGAGTGGGATAACAAATATCTAAAATCTCAGCATCTAATAAAAACTATACACATGTTTTATCCAAATATTATCATATAATTAAAAAAATCGCTCAATCAATGTCTGCTACTTGTCACCATGAGACCCATTTCTCTCGTTTCAACGCCGTTGAATCTTTACAACTCTGTTAACTTCACCTCATCATTTATCATTTATACAACACATCATTGGAGTGAATCAACAGTTGTAATAATTATTCAAATGTTTAGAAAAGCACCATTGTATCCAGTCTTATAATTATGTAGATAGTTAGATAACAAATTTAGGGTGACAGAGATAAAAACGACAGGACCATTGATAAATATGATCCTTTCATCCTTGCATCGTAGGCGGACCAAGTGTGCTACATTTCATATCCTCGCGCTTCAAACAGACAAAATCGATGGGTTACAGGTTACACAAATTAACCTGAGAGGCGGAGTGCACAGAGTTTTAGAAAACAGTCCTATGCAACAAATGTATGTTTGGAACATAGATCGAGTTGATATGTCACATGAAGAAACAATCCACACACATATTGGAGATGAAACAATCGAAAATATGTTAGACGTATCCGACGAGGAGCTTAGAGAGTTTGAAGAAGGTTCTGATTCTGCTTCATCTGAATATTCTTCCGATTCCGATTAGTGTTTTGTAAGTTTATAATCTTGTAATATATAATTTTTTTTATAAAATTGAATGTTATAATAATTATGTAATTATATTATTTATTATTATATATTTTATATTATGTATAATTTTGATAATATTTATGTCAAATTATCTAGAATCATAAATAATTATATATAAAATTAATATTAGCTAGGTAAACTTTTTTTATTAAACTAACTATATTTTTGTTAAAATTAATTATAAAATATGTTATGAATATTCCATCGGGCCAAAACTATTTGGGCCTAAACAATTAACCAGCCCATTCCCTTTTATTTGAGAAAACGACATCTCTATGTACTCTCTCCTTTTGCCGTAACTTGTTTCACCGTGAGAAACAATCTCTCGCCGCCTTGTTGTCTCAAACATTCGCTGGCCCCCATTGACGCATCCAACCGCTCTCCTCCACATCTATCATCCGTAGAGTCTCAATCTCTGTTCTTAAAGGTAGAACTTCTCTTTACTTATCTACCTTAGGGTATTGTATTTCTCTGGTTCTTAAGCTCAAGAGAGCTATTACATAATTCCTCCTTCAGCTGAACAATGGTTCGCTCCAAAGCTCCCGCGAAGAAGCAGCAAATTGATTTCAAGGTCTCTTCTTTTTATATTTTAGGGTTTTAACATTGTCTCTTTTTTTTTTATTATGAATGTTTTGATGAATAATTGTTGGGTTGATTTTGCAGAAAATCAAGCGAAAGCTGGGGAGAAAATTACCTCCACCAAAAAATGCAACTAACACAGAGATTAAATCCAAAGGTCTCCTCCTGCAATTATTATTTTTTCTTCCCCCTTGTAATAATAAGCTCAACAAAATTGCTTGCTTATTTAATTTGCAGCAATTATAATTCCTGAGCAAAGTGTGGCAGCAGAAAAGACTGGCTTTGCTACAAGTAATAAAAACTTGACCTTGGAGGAGCTTCTAGTACGAAGTCGTCATCCCAATGCTAAAGTTCGCAAAAGTACTTTTTTTTTTTTTTCTTATGATTAATTACATGTTTTTGGTTGAGGAAAATATGAATTTTGGTTTTTTATCAGTGTAGATGCGTTGCTTGGTATCCAAGACCTTTTAAAAAGTCATCCAGTAGAGCTGCAGTCAAAGAAATATACTATCATACAATGTCTTAAGGGACGCGTTAATGATGATGATAAGCAAGTGAGAAAAGCTTTTTATGAACTATTTGAGACTCAGATCTTTCGTGTTTGTAAACAAGAGGTATGTGTTCTTTATTTTTTGAAATAATATCATTGCTGTTTTAGCTACACTATTGTATCTATTTGTGAATCTATTCAGGATATCAAGGGACTTATGGTGTCACCTTTGATGCTATCCATATTTCACGCTATGGCTAATTCATTGATTGATGTTCGTTTGGATGCTTTCGCTTTTTTACACCTTGTTGTGGACTACTACCCGCCTTCATTTTCCATGTATCCTGAAGAGGTGTGTCTTCTTACAATCTTTTTTGCCTCATCTAGTATTTCTCTCCTTTTTCCTCTCAAGTTTCCATCTGCTACTTGATGCTACAGATTCTTGAAAACTACAAGGATATCATTATTCAGAGCAACCATTTTTATGTGCAAGATAAAACTAATCTAAAGGTAGCTCTTTCCGGGTTGTCACATTGCCTCTCGCTGTTGCCATATGATGAGATCCACACCAAATCACAGAAAAAGCATTTCCAACAAATTGAAACCCTACTCGCCTATGAGCAAGATGCTGCAAAAGAAGGTATGTTCTTTTTCTCATGAATAAGTTTCCTTTTGTATATGGCTTATATCGTATGTTTTCTTGAATATTTTTCTACGGGTTCTTATAGGTTTTGCCCACGTCTCTGTGAGATTGAAGGAGATTGTTGGAGCCTTAATCAATTGTTTCCAAGATTTCATTCAACTGCTTTGTGCTCCACGAGGATTGGATCCACAATCATTAATTGATTGCGTGCACCATATCCTCTGCAGCATATGTTGTGCCATCAAGTTTTCGCACACTCAGACACATACTGCAACTGAAGAAGAAGAAGTTACTCTGATGAAACTCGATCACCACATTTCATCAATGTTATCAAAAAAGTTACTTGCTTCTTTTCCCCTTATTCCCAAAATCTACCTTTCTAAAAGGGTATGAATTATCACAATGCACATATATATATATATATATATATATATATATATATATATGATTATAGCTTAATTATTTTATATATATACCTTCCTTATAAACACTTGGTTTATTGTTTTGTTGACAGAATGATGAAAGCTACTTTATCCTCAACGGTGTATTGACTGAAATCTTTTTGGAAGTAAGTGAATGGAGCCACCTTCCTTGTGACCTTTCCTATAGATTTCTGGAATTTATTGAGAATACCCTACTAGGCAAGGTTAGCTCTCTCATTACTCGTATAATAACTCAAGCTCTTTAGTTTTCATTGAAAATGTTTCGATCGCGAACATGTATTTTTGTAGATCATCAGGAGCATTAGTCCACCTATTCACGAAAAAGCTTTGCTTTTACTCGTGCCTTTTGTTCCAAAACTTACTTTGAGGGTGGACCGTGATTGGAGAGATAAACTGATGCAGGTTCGTCTATACTTTCTTATTACTTCCTTTGATAGCTAGTTAGCAGCAGTAACTTGGTTTCTATTTTTATATTTTTCAGGCGTTCACTATTACTTTAAGCGATTGCAAACCAGAGTCTCCACTTCAATTAGCCTGCATTTCAATTGTTAGAGAACTGATTATCCCTGTAAGTATAATTTTTTCATGATATGATGTTAAGTCGTCTAACTTTCCACGCACATTAATGAAACCTAAAATGTGTTTTCTTGTAATATCTGCAGAATGGAAATATCCTTTATCCCAATGATCCAACCGTAGATAACTACCAGCTTGCTTGGGTCAACAAACTTCCGTCACTGCTTCATCAGTTGGGTGATAAGAATCCCGTTTCTACCCAGGTGCCAAACCAATTCTATTGTCAATCCAGTAATCTTTAGGCGAAGATCCTTAGTGCATGGACCACCCATTTTTCATCAACTAGGCTCATGTTTACGTGTTTTTTTTTTACTCGAGGTTGTTTTGCAACTTTTGCTTGACCTTGGGCGAGTTGGGTTTCTGAAGAATACTTCCCCTGCATTTGAAGAAGACGTCAGAAACTTCTTCAACCCTTATCAGGGAGAAGGTACTGCAAAACAGAAAACTATGTTATGACATTATTTCTTAGTGTCACTAAAACTAAATATCGGTACTGTCATTGTTACAGGTGATGTGCCTGGTGGACCATTTGCAAGTCTCCCTAGGGAAGCCCAAGAACTTGCTCTCTCTTTCCTTTACTACTTCACCATAGACCATTTCAGTTCCCCTATGCTGAAAGCAATAGTTTCATGCTGTTTATGTGAGTATCTCACAGTTCTTTCCTTTCTTGATGACTAAACTTTATAAAAGTTGATAACCGAAAAACCGTATATTGCAGATGAACAACTTAAACCAGCTGTGTTGTATCGGATAGTGGAAATTCTTCACACTGCGTATAGAGATGGATATATTCAGATTACAGATCATTTTAGCTTCTTCATCACTCTAATTGCGCGTTTCAAAGTTGTCCCTCCAGAGATGGGGATCGAGTGTGATGAGCGGCGGGAGACAACATTCAAAGCACTTACAAACCTTGTGTGCTCATGTTTGTCAGGAATGGGTGATAGCTCTCTTGTCCTCCAGATTCTAGAGAAAGCTTTTGTCGAACAAATAGTAAGTTTTGTGATTTCTGAAAATTACACTTATTATCTAAAGATTTTAATCGTATAGTTAAATTAGCAGGGCAAATACTTTATTTTGAAACCTGCTTTGGACAATGGGTGTGGCATACTCAGGATGATCTGCACGTTGGACTCTAAACCCACCAGACTTTCTGAAAGCAGCGTAACCACTCTAAGTGAATTCTTGCCGGGGTATTTGATGGATATAGTCAATGTGAGCACTTACTGAAAAATGTTTCATTGTTTTTAAATCTGTTGGGATTTTTTGACACATGTCTTCTTGCCAGTGTATACCCGAAGATAAGGAGAAGTCTTCTTACCTTTACATACAAACATGTCTCTACTATTTAGTACCTTGCTTTTTGCTGTTTGACCGGAGCTCCAAACTCACAGAAGAGGTTCTGAAAAGATTGCGATTGATGGTTAGTGAATACACTAAAGCGATGCTGGAATCACCGGTCTGGGAGAGCAGTCGAAACTTGTTGAATTTGATACAATGCATTGTCTCTGTGATCCTGCTGATGCACAACGACGTCAGAGTTAGGAAGATAATATCATCATTCAAGTCGGAGATTGATTTGATTCTGCACAGCGTTGTCACGTTGCAGGTGATCATTTGATTTTTTCTTTTTCTTTCTAGTCTCTCTCTTAACGTTATATATTGCAAATCAATGTAGCTGATTGAGTTTTCACCTCTTATTTTTATGTTTTGCAGTCCTCGAGCATGACAGTAGAAGGAAAGCATATGATGAAGATTGCAGGAGAGCGACTTAGGATTGCATCCAATAGCTTAGTAAGTTGTACAACTGTGACAATAGAATAATTTGTGCTCTCAGGCTTTTCTTTGCTTGTTTGGGAAACCACCAACTTTCAATGGCAATATTGTGTAGAATATTATCCAAAACTACGATTCGTCTTAGCTTATTATTTTTCTGCTCTCTTTCTTTTTGTTTCGATGTCTATTTTATGTCTATATGCCACGAAGTTGAATATTCTAACAACTTTTGTAAATAAAATGTTACAAAAGCTTGAGCCATAGCTTCTTCACGCCTTCACCAGAGTTGGAGATTGACAAAGCTTTTAAAGTCTCGAGAATGTCGCCTGAGAGAGAACTGATAGTTCTATAAGATTCCTTGGTTTTCAACCCTGGTTTGCTCTATTCAAAATCACAAAAATAAACGTGCGCTTATTATTACATGGAATTTAAAGAACACAGACTACGAACTTGTTTTAGTACTAGTGATAGATTAACCATTGTGTAGCCATTAATTTTTCGGAGGGATAAACCAAAGTTGTAGCTCCGGAATATAGAGGCTTATCTCACCGAGGAGGATGTTCTGCCAAGGTAAAAAAATAGGCATGGATATATATGGGTATTCGGGTCGGTTTCGTGTAGGTTCGGCTATTGGTTCGGTTTTGGTAGAGGAATTTCGGACGGACCCATTTAATATCTGAAAAAATCGAGCATTCTTTCTATTCAAGTATTTTGTACTTGTTTACCCAAAATTTTACTTGATTACCTGAAATTTTATTCGATTACCCTACATTATACCCATTTTACCTAAAAATTATATTGATTACCCGACTTTTTTACCCAATTACCCGTACAAATACATGTTTTATATGTACGAGTGTATATAATTTCGGGTAATCGGGTACCCGTTCGGGTATCAGGTCGTTCCGGAAATTACCAGATACCCACGGATACGACTGCGTAGGACCCATCGGGTATTTGGCAATAACCAAATCCGAACAGAACTGGATATTTTGGGTCGATTCCAGTTCGGGTTTTCGGGTTCAGTTTTTATGTCCAGACTTAGTAAAAAACATGTATGTAATATATAGTTAAGCTAGACAGAGTATAAGGTAATTTTGTTTTTAATCTAATCTGGTTGAGATGTAACTCTACGAGCTTGAATCCATCTTATTTTAAATCTACATACAATATTCATAGACCACCTCTCGAATGTAAACTCCTAGATTTAGACTAGCATTAAAAACAGGTTTGATATGTTTACAAATATTCCTAGACCACCTCTCGAATGTATCTAGTAATCTCTGCCCACCTAAGATAGTTCCAGTAATAGATGACCTCTCGAATCTACCTATTATCCTATGATCAAGTTCTAGTTAGCTACTCTAGAACTAACATTAAGAACAACCTAAGGTGAAGAACTCTATAAATTAATCCTAACAGGTAATCGATTTACTACTTCATCTAAATCCCTAATGAGAATCCCTAAACCTAACAGGGAGATTACTCAGACATGATTAATGAAACAGAAAACATGCTTGAATAGATTGCAAATAAGAAATCAAAAGAAGAAAATAGTTTAGAATAAATGTTCTCTCTACAGGGTTTTGAAATCTCTGAAAAGTTGATTTCTCCAATTATCTTCCAAAGGGTTCAAGCTTAGAGAATTACAAAGCAAAAACCAAAAAGTAAGATGCAAGATAATGAAATAGAAAAACCCTAAAAGCTATTTATAATATCTCCAAAAACGTGCAGGGACAATAGTTGCAAATAGGAAAGTCTACCGGGTTGATTCTTCGGGCTTTAAAACTCTTAAACCGTCGAGACTTTTGTTGGGCCGCGTGTGGTGTCGATCGACACCAAGGGGTGTCGGTCGACTCTCATGCTTTGGTCTGATACCGAATTTGTTCCTCCAGCTCTTAATCTCCGGTTTAGCTCCACAATGGTTCCTTATCTCCAAATTTGTCCCAAACGTGTAAAAACCTAAAAAAACACAAAAAGACTCTAGAAACAACAAAAAGACTTTAAAACTAACACATATATCGTGGCTAAAAACGGTAAAATCGACGATATATCATATCTTCATATTTCCAAGTCTCTCAAGATCCATGTAATGCTCCTCGCTGGTAAAGACGCGGTCGGTGAGATTAACTCCAACGGCTTCAAGTATTGTCGTGATGACTCCACCAAAGCTTAAGGAAGCTTTGATCGCGTCATGCTTGATTTTCACCATTCACTTTGCTAGGAGAGAGGCATAGTTAACTCTCCGGGGAAGGTCAACAAACGACGTCTTTGGGGATAGGAGCTTTTGAAGCTCTGATACCAAATGATACATGACTCGGTGGTGAGCCTTGCATCGAGATAGAGAAGGTGGATTCACAAGCTGGCGGTCGCTTCTCTCTTATGTAGGAAAGATGGTCGAAGGTGGAAATCTGACACGATGGCGGTCGCTTCTCTCGTGTGGGATCAATTCAAGGGAAAAGGATGGATAAAGGGGTGATTGACTCTCTCAATCGGTGGTCAAACTAGATTGTTTGAATCACACAAACAACTTGATCTGAGGCTTCAAGAGAATAAAAGTGAATCGCTCACTTAAACTCTAATGAATAGGAACACACAAAGACATAAACTTTGTGAAGAAGAACAAACTTTCTATTAACTGTCAATATTCAATGGTACTTTACAATGAAAGAAATAATTAGCTTTTATAGAGGTTCTAGCTAACGGTAACAAGACTATAAAAATAAAGGAAATCGCAAACATAAATGAATACAGCCGTTGGAATCGATATGGTGTGATCCGAGGCTCCAAATAAGGGAAGTCTGGTGTGTCTTGTATCTTGTCAACTTGGAGAGGAAGTTGTGACGTCTTGAAAACTTTTGGAGGGACTCAAGAGTACAACGGTCAAATTCTCACAGTATGGTGATTCGACTCGCTGGTCTTTGATTCCTCTTGAACCATCACTAGTCTTCTTAGGGTAATTTGCTTCTAAATAATTAACCATAGGCCTTGTGATTGATTGTGACTCCATTTGGGAAATGATCCTCCAAAATGCTTCATATTAACCGATTTGATACATCTACCGCATGGTTTGGTATGCTCTCGGTTTGGTTTGATTTGGATGTCCGCATTATTGGCTTAAGAGAACCATACACAAAACCTGGCTCTGTTACCACTTGTAGAGGATTAAGAGGCTCAAAAGACTTCGACTTTAAGAGCTTGAACCTCATCAACCTAAGATATGAAGCAGTTTGGTATTGAACCAGTTTCAACTACATTAGCGACTGAAGCAGTGACTGATTCAGAGACTGAGACAGACAATTATTCAGAGATTGAAAATAGAGCTGCAAGGAGATTAAGAGAAAGGAAAAAAGGGAGCACACACAAATTGTTCACCCGGTCCACGGTGTTAACGAACCGCTACATCCGGTTAGGATCTTTCGATCCACATCTTTTCACTATGAAGAACAAGGTGATTACAAGAGATACAAGTGATTCACTCTCAAGAACTCACCTTGTATTACACTCTCATCTACTTGAAAAAACCCACCCCAAAGCTTATGCTTTCTATATGTTTTCTCTCACCCTTCTATCTACATTGTGTGTTGCTGCACTCTCTCTCATGCCCTTAGCTTCTTCAATACAAGGAGACATCCTTAAACCTAGTTCACAAGAAGACAATACACAAAAGCTCCTCTTTGTGGTCCCAAAAGTAATTCAATCCAACTTTAACTTGACTAGAGCTAAAACTTTAGTTACTTTGGATCTTCATTTGATTGTAAACAAGTTCTCATCTTTATAATTTGAGTCTAAACTTGGGTTTTGTTTGGATCGGTTTGAGTTCGGTTAGTTCGGTTCATTTTGGTTTAAAATGAGTTGGTTCAATTGATGAGATTCGAATTCTAAACTGTATCATTTACTATTCCTATAGATTTAGAGCATAAACAGGCAGTTTTCATTTTTAAAATTCGAAATTGATTAAAAATTTGAGGAATTTTTTTGTAGATCCGAATAAAGTTGAGGATTTTTATAATGTTTATTGTCAACCTCTAGTGTTCGTAAAATATCAAAACAGTTTAACGACAGCTACTGCGACAACTGTGCAGTGAGAAAAAAACAACAACAAAAAAAAAAAAAAAAACAACTATTCATTTTCCCCTCTGTCTCTATCTCTCTTCTTCTCGGTTTCTCCGTAAGCAATCAGAGTTCTGCAAGTAAGGTTAGTCTCTGTTTATTTTTCTCAATAATCTAAATGCTTTAAAATCAGATTATGCTTCAAAAAAAACAAAACATGAAACTGAATCGAATCTAGGTCTTGTAAATGCATTTTGAATTGTGTCTCTTTCCATTGATTATAATCTAGTAATTGATTTAGAACTGGTTTGGGTTTTTAGCTTCTGATTTGGGTTTTTAGTGGAACTGGTTTTTTATAAAATGTTTATATCGTTGGAATTTTGATTGTATCAAATTGAAACGTAACATTTTGATTTGTCAAAGCAGGGAAAGCTATGGATGTTGAGCATAAGAAGCCGTTGATCGAATCATCGGATCGTAACCTTCCTGATTTCAAAAAATCAGTGAAGCTTAAGTATGTGAAGCTTGGTTATCATTACCTTATCACACATGGAATGTACCTCTTCCTCTCCCCATTGGTGCTTGTAATTGCTGCGCAGATTTCGACATTCTCTATCAGCGATATTCGCAACCTCTGGGAGCATCTTCAGTACAATCTTATCTCAGTGATTGTTTGTTCTATGCTTCTTGTGTTTTTAATGACTATTTACTTCATGACTCGGCCGCGTCCTGTGTACTTGGTGGACTTTTCGTGCTTTAAACCCGATGAGTCCCGGAAATGTACTAAAAAGATCTTTATGGATCGTTCTAAACTCACTGGTTCTTTCACAGAGGAGAATCTTGAGTTCCAGCGCAAGATTCTACAACGTTCGGGGCTTGGGGAATCTACTTATTTACCTGAGGCTGTTCTCAATGTTCCTCCAAACCCGTGTATGAAAGAAGCTCGAAAAGAGGCGGAGACTGTGATGTTTGGAGCTATTGATGAACTTCTTGCCAAGACGAATGTCAACCCGAAGGATATTGGGATCTTGATTGTTAACTGTAGTTTGTTCAACCCGACACCTTCGTTATCTGCTATGGTTGTCAATCACTATAAGCTCCGTGGGAACATAC